CTGAACCTGTCTCTGCAGTCCTGCCTGACTCTCATCATACTACTTCCCTGATGGCTCCCACAGGATTGTTGACATCCCCGTGGATTCATCTTCTTATTATAGACGCATGCATTTCCAAACATTTGGTATATGCTGTAAAATGTATTATCTCTTCGGCATCTATTGCACGTCTGTCCGTCCTGGGAGAGGGATCCCTCCTCTGTTGCTCTCCCTGAGGTTTCTCCCATGTTCCCCTTTAAACTGTGGGTTTTTCTCTGGAAGTTTTTCCTTGTACGATGTGAGGGTCTAAGGACAGAGGGTGTCGTATTGTCATACTGATATTCTGTACAAACTGTGAAGTCCACTGAGACAAATGTAACATTTGTGATATTGGGCTATATAAATAAACATTGATTGATTGATTGATGCTGTATGAGAACCCAATGTGATTTTGGAAAATTGCATAATTTAAATCTATTCTAGTAGACCTCAACAATGGAAATATGATCAGTAGAAATGGCCATGACATGGGACCTTTTAGACAAACAAATAATATAAAGACGTAAAGCTAAATTCTGGTAGTATAAATGTGCTGCAAAATAGTTTTTTTGTTGTCCTGCATCTGAGTGTGCAGAGACAAATGTAAACAAGAAGCACACTGTTCAGGGTGTGCGCTGTAGGTGTAAGAAGAAAAGAAGATTATATTGCTTTAAGAATCAATTTTAAAATTGTATTGCTGTTATGTTAAGATATGTTTGTGACCTTTTATAAACCCTATGCCCCGTCCTGCACCCCGAGACCCTCAGAGGCATCACTGCTGGTCGTAAAGACCTGCCTGAGGAGGTCAGGGTGGCAAAATCTGTCTGCTCTTTTAGGTCAATGTTGTATTATTTGTTTCATGTATTCTTAATCTATGTATTATATGGTAATAATAAAATAAAATAAACTTTATGTATTGAACACATTCCGAAACAACGCTGATAAGACAGAACTAGCCTCAGACATAATACGAATTATTGTAGAAACATTTTGCGCTGTTGATTATCTATTCCAACTGGCCACTGGATTCAGATAATTAATATAAGTTGAAGTTTAATTACAGTTTTAAATATAGTTTAACATTCTTTATTAAACTGCTTCAAATTATTTCTCGTATCAACCAAGTTAGTTTACTAAAATTCAAATAGTTGTTAAACCACTGACAAGTTTTCTGAAATCAAGCCTATGAACAAAAGAGTAAAGGTCACTGGTTAAGCCAGGATCAATATATTTGTTGACACACACACACACACACACACACACACACACACACACACACACACACACACACACACACACACACACACACACACACACTTTGGATAAGTATTCACCTTATCCACATTGTAAATTGTTGCCTTCTTTAGAGTTATTAGTAATTCAAGATTCATTATTAAATGGGGTACATAAGCTAATGTCACAAGTTAGACACATGTATTGTTGTTTTTTGGTTGGGCACATCTCTCCTGTCATTTCAGATCCCGCCTTCCTCCAGGCTCTTGCAATCAGCTCACTCCCCTCACCTGGTCTCCCCAGCCCTTCCCCTCACCTGCTACTCATTCCCTCATTTACTCCACAGTATATATACCACCTCACTCTCACTAGTCCTCTGCCAGATTGTCTTGTGTGTTTTGCCAAGCTCTCCAGCGTTTCATTATCCTTTGCCTAGTTACCTGTCCTGTCCGGTTTTGACCCCTGCCTGCCTGTCATCGGACCTCGAGTTTCCTGCCTGCCCCCTAATTGGATTTGTTTGCCGGTCTGACGGATCGCCTGGTTCTGAGCCCTGTTCTGCCTGCCCCTTCTCGGATTTGTTTGCCTGACTGCTGGATTTCCTGGTTTTGACCCTGCCTGTCCCTGACTCGATTCAACTGAACATTCTGAACACTTACACTTTCGCACTAAACTAAATAAATAAATAAATATTTTCAGATTATAAGGTATTGAATAATAAGGTATTTCTAAAATTATAACGGATAATGTTAATATCCTTAATCGTCCAGCAATCAGGCTTAACAACACTACTCTTCAATGCATTATCCATGCACAGACAGACCTAAAATGATGTTTCAAGTACTGGATTAATTTCAGTTTCGGCCCAAAACAAATATTTATAATTCATATAACATTATGTAGCATATTTGATCCTCAAATTAGAGAAGTATAATTTAAAGAAATTGATATTCTATATTCAACATTAGATAAACACAGAAGAACCCTTTCCAAGTACCATAAGTATATTTTCAGGTAAGCATGGCTAATAAGAATAATGAATTGAGTTAATTTGGTACAGATCAGTTGTAGCAATTACAAATGTATGAATTAAAGTTTTAAGAATGTTTAATCCTTCCTTTCCAGGTTTTTACAAAAGTCTTTGAATATTTGCCTAACTTTTCCTTTTCAGATTGTTAAACATTTTGAGAATTGTTTAACTTTTCCCTTCAGATTTTGAAATGACATGAGGATTGATAGTTTAAGTAATGTAATTATGTTATCATGCCATAGTCTTTTGATTTAATATTTAATGAAGCTAACGTAAATATAATCCTAAATTGAAGACACTGCAATTTTGCAGATTACAGATTGATCAAATCACCACTGAGTTTTATACCTCAACTCTGAATTTTATACCTTAGCTGGATCTCTTATGATCCTGAGTTTTAAATGCTTTTGACTAGTGATTGCCTTGAAGTCAATCTTTAAGATGCAAACTGGTTTTGATTGTATAGTTTGATAAAGGAGATTAACTAATGGTTAAATATTTTCCAAGGCCCATAACTTTGACCCAGTTTATCAGTTCATACTGTCCTGACTGAGCACACACACCTGTAACCTTGGCTGCTGTGCTCTCAGTGTTTTGTCTCCCTGTTCCTGCCTGTTGGCGTCAGCTGATAGAGGTGTTATGATTCTATCTTGTTATGCACAATGTTGATTATTCTCTCTGAACTAGCTAAATACACGGGTCTGGGGTAGAGTTCTTCAGAATTTATTGTGGCATCTCAACCGTGTGGTCAGATCGTGGCCCGTGACATGTCTCGTGAATTCTGCGGCCGAAGCTCCAAATAAACCGTCAGTGTTTGCCATCAAAGCTCCAGCTCTCCTCGTGTCTCTCTGAGTCCTGACTCCATTTGCTTCAAAAGTTCCCCCACAGCTATGACTATAACATAAATAGACACAATCACCAGTCCCAGGTTCTGATCGGTTGGATACGAAACGAAGGGAAAAGTCATAGAAGAAAGCTTGCATTAGAAATGTTGCAAAAGCCAGGTGCAGACACTGTAGAAGACAATGAGTTATTGAGAAAAGGAGATCGCCCTGGCCTTGGAACAGTGTGTGAGCTCCCTTGCCTACGCATAACTGGGAATCAGTGTAATGGAGGATTCCACTATCTATTGTAGAAACTTCTGCAAAAACAAATTACATAGGATAGCATGACTAGAGTAGGGAGGGACCTTCACAGGCCGGCCGAATGCTGATTGGAGGTCGTGTTGCCAAGAGACTTTGTCTAAGTCTGTGCACCAACTAGGGAGACCAAAGTCTAAACCACGGTCCTCCCCATCTAGTCTCAACCAATCATAAATGTACGGGCAGAGCCCTGAATAATAAAATTGTATGCACGCATGAGGTTAAATGCTTTTTTTCCGGAAATAGGGTTACAGATTACAGCTCTGCTGCCTGGGATTTCTGTGACCGGACAGAGTCCTTGGCCAAGTGAAATGTATGTTATGCTCTCTTTTAATCAATAGTTAAACTTAGAAGTTGTTTGTCTTTCCTGGAATTAAAGAACACAACATATTTCACATACTTATCTCATCTTATTCTCCTTCTGCCACAAATGTTGTCATACTACTACTACTCGTCCGGCAGCGTTGACACGAAACACACAACACATCAAAACGTGCAGAATAGGAATGGGAAATCCATTTGAAAAGAGCTCAAAAACACCCCACTTTGACCCCATACAGATTCCGCATACTTTAACGTAGAACGAAAATTACAAGTTTAAACCGTTCTCGAGACTATGGACTTTATTAGACTAATTGGATACTTTTTGATAGCTAGTACGGTTCTCACGCAGTCGCAGCTTATGTTTTGTGAAAATCACACTGTTTCACATTTTATAATGGGTGTGTATCATGGATGTATAATAACTGGATACAGCGTCGGAGGCGGGGTCTCGTTCTTTCCTATGAGAGCTGCTCATTGGCGCATGAAGGCAAAATTGCCCAACTTTTGAGAGAGCGAAACGTCACAGATTACCCGTCATGCCTGGCTGTCAGAGCAGAAGTACCCGTATGTGCGCTCATAGAGCTTGTGCAGTTGAGTTGCCACTTAAGCCCCGCCCCCCGAGCTTCCACTCTCGGCTCACTAGAATGAATGGAGAGAGAAAATAAATCTAGATTTGGCTTTTAGTGCATTTTACAACTTTAAGGACCGAATGATTCTAATAAGGGCTACAAAGTAGTTCATACTGGGTAGTTTATTTAGTTAAAAAAAATTATACGCTGATTTACAGATGTCTCTTTCCCAATGTTAGTCAATGGGAAAAAGTATTTCTGGGCCCAGTGACGTCACACACTCAAAAAACTAAATCATTGGCTTTGTAGATATCACAATAATAAAAAGCTATATTACCTTAATAAAATCTCTAAATATCACCAAAGTAATTGTTTGAGTCGGACATACCAAAATAAATGCTTACAAATCCAACAGTTAATTTTGTCTTAAATTATTACTATCATTTAAGTTGATGACACGAAAATAAATGAGTATTTGACTAACAAATTATATTTTTAAGATATCCTTAATATCTTTGGCAAATTTCAGTCAAAATATTTGAGAATTGGCTAATTATACTGATCAGTTTCAGGAACAGCAATTATTACTCATTCCAAATCAATATTCTTCATCTTTAACAACAACTTAAGAAATTGAGTAAATTACACTAAAACGTCATGAGTGGACCCCATTCACAATCGCGCGCAAATGCAGTGTGCTCATGGGAAATCTACTTTTCTATCTGCGCCACATGTGGCAACCGCAACAAGCAAGGAAACACCACGACGAGAACCACCAGGAAAACTCCCTGCAAATCCTGGTAAGTAGCCAGCTAGCAAAAGTTAATGAAATATTGACCCTGACTTTGTGCATATACAACTTTATGGTGTGTAATTATCTAAATACTGTCACACTTGCAGCCATGCTGTCATAGGTCTAGCTAGTTCTCTGTCCGCTTCTACACACGCATGGTGGACACAGTCAACCAGGTGAAGTGAAGCTAACGTTTTACTCAAGTAAAAAGTAGAAACATTAGCACCTGCTTTGTCCGCAGTTGTTGTCTTAAGTACCTAATCAACCAGCTGTCTGTATGTAGCATAGTTAGCTGTTTGTTTTAAGCCCCTTTTACACTGTTATTCAGAAATGCTGTAGTAAAGAAGATCCGCCATTACGTCGACTTTTTAATACTTAACCAGACAATGCCAGCATAATGCTGCCCCAGTGTGTGATATTAGACAGCATGCCGGCCTGACGTGTAACACAACAGCGCCGGCGAATATGTGTGTCTGCATGTCCCGCCATGCCGGAATAACGGAGCAACAGTCTCGCCTTGAACAGGCTGTGAAGGGGGCTTTGCCGCCACACCCGGTTACTAAGCAACGCTTATCGTTTAGGTATCCCTGATAAGGAGGCAGTCATATCATTAACTAAAACTAGCTAGATCTGATCGATATGGACATAAACACGAGTGAAGTATAATCGGGAGAGTGATCAGGTTCTGCAAACTGAGACACGCAGCTCTGCATGATCACCTGCAGCTCTGCCGCTGTGAGGGGACCGGTGAGCAGAGCACACGCTTCAAGTTAGACCTAACACATTTAGCAATCTTATCTACCTCTGGAAGTAACCGAACTAGTTATAAATATGTTTATTCTTTACTTTTGGGTCACTCATTACTGGATTAGCGAGCTGCATGAGACTAAACTGACGGGCTGTCAGGAGAGGGAGAGAGGAAAAGAGAGCACCCTGTTTATTTCTCCCGTGTTATTATCCAAAGTTACTGTACATTTTTGAATAATGTAGTTAATCTACTATTAGTTGTTTGTGTAAATGTATTACTTATATTGTTGATTTTTGTAGAAGCGCCGATAAAAGTATGGATAATACAAAGATAAATGCACCTTGTTTGTGTAAGGTGGCTATTAGTTTATTTGGGTGATTACTGTATCGTGCGAGTGATTTCAGATAACGTCTGCCTACTGCATCCGCGGCCCAGCAGCTGTTACTAGTCTTGCCTATATGCTTATGAAACTGTTTCATCTTTATTATAATAAGGCATTGCATTTTCTTAAGAGGAGTGGCCTACCTGCCCAACTTATGTGTTGTCATATTTATGAGGGAACACTTGATGATGGCTAGAGCAAGTAAAGTTGAATTATTTTGTGAAGCATGTTAAATATTTTCAATATTTGTTTCACAGCACCGACTGCGCTAACGGAGAGAAGTTGAACGAAGATAACAAAACAGAGGAGGTAAATTTCATTATTTTATTAAACACTGAAACAACGGTGCCAACATATTAGTTTGCTTTATACAAGTTTAAGAAATCGGTGAATAAGCTAAATGAGTTGCACCTTGATTTCGACCATGTTTGAGTGCAAAGGCCAGGAAGCACTTGTTAGAAACATAAACAGTGACTATATACAAATATCTAGGACTTGATAATACAAACTGTTACTAATTATTATTATATACTACTCCTGCAATTGAGGATCCTGGCTCTGAACACTGCAACTGCAATCGTTTTTATTGACTGTTTTCCAAATGTTTGTGCAATTACGGTAGATGTTCCATTAACTATAGTTTGGAGTAGATGTAATTATTAGCATCAATGAGTAAATATAATTGGGTGTCATTTTTAAAGCTCTGTATGATAAAACATATTAGTCCAAAAAGTATGTAGGTAAATGGAAGTAGCATTAAACCAGTCTGTTCGCTCCATGTGATAACACTATTTATCCTCACTTTTTTAGGTTGCAGCTTATGGAATGGCAATGTAAGCTCTGCACATGTGTGGCTTCAGCGAAAGGGTCACTTCTCAAGCACTATCGATTGAAGCACGGTACCTTTGGAATCTGGGAGAAGATGCGAGTGCCTTGATCAAGGACTTTGAGGTTAGTACTATGGCTGAAATGATTCCTCAAGTAACTCGATTACTAAAAATTATCGGGCAGTGGGACAGACATACACGCACTCAGTCAAGCAGACAGACAGCGTGGCACAGAGGTAAGACCGAGGCCGATACAGATGTGCAGTGATCAGTTACAATTATAGTACCCTTATATGTGTAGCCCAGAAGACGTATACCTTTTTTTTTTTGAGTTCTTTGAAATAAAAAAACAATAATTATTAGTTTTTGCATTTCAGAAAATGGGTTCTTTAAAACTTAATGCACTAAATGGGTCTAGTTTTGACATATTATTGTATGCAATTTAAACAATAACAATGTGGATTTTTGTTGTTGTTCATTTTGAGAGGCCGGTCTTATTTTCTCTTTTCTATATTTACTATTGCTCTTTTAATAAAGCAAAATAATGTATTATCCGATTAATGAATTCATCGTTAGAATACTCTATAGCTGCAGCCCTAGTTAGTACAATAGTTTTCAGGATTTTTAACAGTGTTAGTTTTGAAGTTTTAAATAATGTAATCATGGATGACTGTGATGACCATGAACATACATAGTGAGTGAGCAGTGAGGAATTGCTCTTTGTGTGTCTTGTAACATGCAGGCTGAAAGTAAGCACTAACCAGTTATCTTTTCAATGTCTGCAGGATGCTGCTGATGCACCTGTCAGTGTACAAGAGGAGTTGGCAGAGGAGGTGATGAAGATGTACCTGCTGCAGAACCAAGATGGGTCAGTCGATGAACCTACTGATGTAGGGATTGTGATTGAGGGCATCCCTGTCCTCAGAAGTCTTAGGGATCTTAGCAGAGCCTGCTGCTATCTGTTGGGACTAACCTATGCCTTGGATCTGAGATACCCCAAGAATCTCAAATATAGTTTTGAGGTATTCCAAAAACTACTGTTGGAGCTGGATCCTGGCAACCTTTCAACCAAGGTTCAGAGACTGAAAAATTGCCTGCATATGTAGTTGCCGACTACTGTTCAACAAGATGCTAAAAGGTACGAGTTGAGAGTTCCATTGATTGAATTGCATTTTGGACTGGTATTGTTGTAAAGTGTCACTGTTCTTGGTGCATTTCAGTCATATGCAGAGTTCAGTTCAGCCCGTTGCTCCCATAGCTCAATGGAAATGTTCACATGCTCATTGGCAAAAATATACCTGGTTGAAAGTTAAGCTAGATAAAATGTCTAAAAGTTTTATTGCTAAATAATCAAATTTGAGATTTCCATTGATGCTAAGATGTCTCTGCTGCAATTGGTCTTGTTGCATTTTACCCGTGTTTAAAAGGACCGCTTAGTTATATGCAGAGCTCAATTCAGCTCATCGTTTTTATAGCTTGGCCATTGTTACCAGGGCTCTCCCTTCTTAGTCGATTAGTTGACTTTATTTGTGGTTTTGGTCGATGAAGATTTCTTTAGTCAATTAGTAATATTTTAATGTATTTTTTTTCATGGTGAATGACTTATTTGTAAGAAACGTATATCTATGAGTGGCCGTTAGGGACATTATTCAGAAATACCATTCACATACACATGTGAAGCACTCTCATACACACAACTGAAACCAAAATCATTTACAAACATATGTAAAAATCTCTCATATACATGTGAAACGCTCTCACACACATATGAAACAATCTCTTATACACAAATGAAACGCTATCATATACACATGAAATGCGATTTCAGTATGTTGTGTGAGAGGGATTTCAGTTGAAACGGAAGGCATCTCAGTTGATAAAGGAAGTCGATTTCAGAAAAGCAAACACAATATTATGTCCGTTTGCGATTGTTCCATCATGTCTGCTCAGCAGCATGCACAAAGCTTAACTGAGGCAGCAGCGTTGTTAAATAATATCCTGGCCTCAGCGGGGTGCACAGTCTCTCCTAAGGGGAGCTGTAGTGGGCCATTGCCTGCCGCGGGACGGGAAGAGGGACGATACATGGTGTTGAGGCCAGGATATTATTTAACAACGCTGCTGCCTCAGCTTTGTGCATGCTGCTGAGCAGACATGATGGAACAATCGCAAACGGACATAATATTGTGTTCGCTTTTTTTAAATTTGCGCTTCTTCGCTGTTTTTTTTAAACGACTTCCATTTCAACTGAAATCCCTCTCACACAACATATCGAAATCGCATTTCATGTGTATATGATAGTGTTTAATTTGTGTATAAGAGATTGTTTGTGTGTGAGAGTGCTTCACATGTGTATGTGAACGGTATTTCTGAATAATGTCCCTAACGGACCCTCATAGATATCTCTGGTAAACACAAGGATTTAAAGTGGTGTTTTTGTGTGATTCTTTGTGAAGAATATGTTGATTTAATCGATTAGTCATCAAATGTGTACGAGTGTTAGTCGACTAAGAATGTATTTTGTCAAGAACAGCCCCTAATTGTTACAAATGTAATATGCAAACTAAACCAGGTTGAGACTTAATGTGATGTGTTATACTGGTCAAATTTGAACAATAAATATGTAATTAAAATGTCAATGTGTACAATTGCTCTTTTGGTTTTATTAGATGTATTGACCTCAGGTAAAGCACTCCTGGAGTAAAGCGTAAATACAGTTAAAAAAATAAGTAAATGTAACACATATATTTATATAATTAATAGTCCAGTTTTAATTAAATGTAGTTAAAAACATCGAGTAAATTTCACACATTTGTTTTGTTAAATAATAGTCTCCTTTTCAGTTACATCTACCTAGCATTTAAGTGATATCTACTAAAAAGAAATAGTGGTTTTGGCTTAGGGTTACTATTGCATTGACTTAGGATTTTAATTATATTTACTCAATTGTATATGTTATGGTACTAAATGTAGTTATTTAGACCCACTTGATTTTTTTACTTACATTTACTCAATTCATAAGGTAAATTTAAATGATTTCACAGCTTTAAGATTGACTCAATATTTTTAAGTGTAAAAATGTTTCACCAATTAAATTGAGTACATCATCGTTTTAGTTTTTTTGAGTGCAGACTGATACGGAAGTTTGGACACAACGAATGTTGGGCACAGAGCCCGGCGCACTTCCTGGGGGCTTGGTGTGTATGAGAGAGTTAAGACTTACGGAACGGCCACACGGCTCCGTCGCGTTGAAGCTTGCCGGTAGGCGTGTCTGGTGCGCGACCAACAACCAATCACATGAATCTCCCACCCCGGACACACAAGCACGCGGTTTGATTGGCTAGCGCTTGTATTGGCATATGATTTGATTGGCTAGCGCTTCCGTCGACGCTTGAAAAGTTGAACTTTTCTCAACTTTCGAAGCGAGCAACGGAGGCAAAGCGACGGAACCACAATTCAGTTCGGCAAAGCGTGACGTCACCCCATTCAAAGTGAATGGGAAGCTGCGTTGAAGCACGCAACGGAGCTGTGTGGACGTACCGTTAGGGTGGGTGACATCACAGCTAGAGGGGAGAGGGGCTGTAAAATCGGAAGAGTTTTTTTTCCAACTATTGCTCGGCTGGCCACAATTTTCACTTTTCATACTTTGGTGATCATAATGTAGGGAAATTTGTCACGGCCGCACCGATATGCTAATTTAATCAAACGGACTTACACATATAGCAAACACGAGAGTCGTCAGGTGTGTTCATCTGGTATCCTAAATACTGGTAGGATATTTAGCTGATTGGAGTTACAGTTTTTTACTTAGAAGCAATAATGCAGCACAATATTGTCAATACATTCTCTGACGGGCTGTCTCTCGTTCACTGGCAGGGCATTGCCGTGGAAACTCTTTGATCTTTGAACACACCTGTCGGTCGTTAACTAAATCCAGTGGTAATCTAAAGATGTTCAGAAACGATGAAGGAATGTGCTACAAGAAAATGTAATAGATAAACAATTAAAGTAGTAAGCTAAAAGTGAGCTAAAATTAATGGATATACTTTGTTGTACCTTAACAATACAATTAATGCTATTAATACCCACTCAGCGTGGGTAATGTTAGCTAGCATCGGGAAGCGCACCCAAGTTTCAGTCACACAGTCAACATTTCTCCGAATTTTCTAGTTAAAATTATTATCCTTTCAAAACAACATTTCTATGCATTTGAGAAACGTTTCTCTCCCGTTAGATGAACACAAAGGGAGGCATGCACATATATTAAAGGAGTGTAGGCACTATATATATATATATATATATATTTTTTACTGTCACCAAAATAACCAAAGAAAAAGGGAGAGGTTCAAATATTTAAAAGAAAACAACAAAAAACATACAGAACATTGACATTCTGTAGTTCCGATGATATTACATTCCGAACACCTTGAAGGGCTTTGTGACCTCACGAACATTCTAATGTCATGCTTACAATAGGCTGAGGGGAATCATTCCATCATATTAGTTTGAGCAAACGAACGAGAAGGTAACGCCGAACATCCCTAACCCTTTAAACCCAAACAGCTCAAATACACGACTGAACGTGAAGCATTCTGTAACCAATACAGGTACTGTCTTATTTTGAAGTGAATCTGTAACTGAACTGAAAAAAACAAATCATTATGATAACTAATTCATGTGGGGCTTTTAAAAAGTGGTTAAAAACATAAATCAAGGCAGAAAATAATTAAATTGTGGGTATTGGAAATAACAATACTTTTTTTTACCTTTGCTTTCAGTTATGTTGTCAAAAAAGGAACATCAACCCCTGATCGACACAATCTCAGAAAACTACCAGATCTTGAAAGTTCTGGGAGCGGGTTGCTATGGACAGGTGGTGGAATGTTTAAAACTGGACACCGAAGAGACTGTGGCTGTGAAGGTTTTAAAACGAAAGAACTCATCGAAAAACAACATGAGAGAGGTGAGCTAACTTTGGATTTTCACAAGTCAAAGATCCATTTTCGGACAGTGCCTGAGTCTTAAGAAATATTTGCCTCTATACAACATAACTGTTTTATTTATCCTCAGGTTCTCATACTGGAAAGGCTCCAATGTTTCGACCCTGATAAGTGCAACATCGTCAGATGCCACGAATGTTTTCAATCGATTGACCGGACCTTCCTGGTGTTTGAAATACTGGATATGAGCCTCCATGACTACTTGAACAAGAGGGGAAGGCTGCCATTACCACTAAAAGGCATAAAAACGATGATCAGAGATGTAAGGATACCAGAGAGAAATCAAGAACTATTAGTTTTCCACTCCTTAGATTAGATATACTTGTATTGATCCCAGTTTGGGAAATTCTTTCATCATATAAACATTATGTAAATGACTTTACTTGCAGTTGGCCACAGCATTAGATACCCTAAAGAGTATTGGAATAATCCATTCGGACTTAAAAATGGACAACATCATGCTGGTGAATCACCACGTAAAGCCGCTCAGGGTGAAGCTAATCGACTTTGGTCTAGCTGTAAAGAGCTCCGAAGTGTGCCCAGGAGTCGTAATGCAGTCTCTTTGGAATAGGTAAGACCTCAAGACCTTTTTTTATTAGAAATGCATCAATGCAAGGAGTTCACTGCCATCTGGCTCGACTCTAATTGAATATTTGATTAAAAAGGACCTTGTATATTCTTCTGTTCCTCCACACTCAGGTCCCCTGAAATCATTCTTGGCCTGCCATTTAATGAGGCCATTGACATTTGGTCTCTTGGCACAATAATGGCTGAATTGCTGCTCGGATTTCCGCTTTTCCCAGGAAGACATGAGTATGATGTGGTGAGTACAATTGATGGTTCATTTCTGAATCTTTCTTAATGTTTGTAATATTGTTTTTATATCTACTAATACTTTCAGGCATGTTTTATACATGGCTTAGAAGATTTATAGAGTAGTCCAAAATGAGGTTTTGCTGTGTTTTGTCTCCAGCTGCGTTACATCATGGATCTCCTGGGGGAGCCACCAAAGGAACTCCTGAATGGTGCAGTGAAAACAGGGCTATTCTTCAAAGAAAAAAGACAACTCTTTGTGAAGAAGCATTGGACATTCAAGGTAAAGCACCACAACCGTCTTTGCCAAATATGAATTATCCTTATTTAGATCATTAGTATTAAGCAACACAATATGTTGACTTCTTACAGACACCCAAGGAGTTTCAGAGGGAAACGTTGAATAAAACGAGGGAGGACAGGGAATATAACTTTTCCTCTCTGGAGGCGCTGAAAAAAGTAAGTTGTCAAGTAGATGCTGTCTGTAGAAGCGCCAACAAAAAAATCATTTTGATTAATATTTGGCAATACTTTTGTTATTTAGACAAGGTTGCACAAAGCAAACAGCCCCGAATTAGAAGATAGGACGGAATGTGTGGAGCTTTTGAAGGAAATGCTCACGATGCACCAAAATGATAGGATTACTCCAGATGAAATCCTGGTCCATCCTTTCACAATAAGGCGCTACCTCAGTCGAAAAAACTGCCCTCAGTAAGTATGTCTGTACGAATCTGTAAATTACACCATCTCCGTGGCACACATGTTTTCAAACAAAAGTAGGCAGTGTAGACTGTACTGTAAATGGCTAATGTTATCTGTACTGTACACTGAAAAGACTGAAAGTTGTCTTTGATTAAATGTATAATGTCAACAGGTTTTACATAACTGTATTAGGGTAGTTGAAAGC